CACACAAGCCCCGACGTAGAGCCACTCAAACCAGGAATATTTGTCTAAACACTTATTCAGATACATTTAATAGAAGTTTTTTAAATCAAGGCCACAAACCTAAATTTGGCACTGTTGCTGTTTCACGACCGACCATGGTTGGACAACTGCTGGTTTCCCAGCATGCCCTGGCGTTTGGCATATTCTGTCTTGTACTGCAACTGCGGTTGAGTCAGTTGCCAACCGAGTGAGTCGGTCACCATACGGTACAGTTATCGCTGTAGATTGCTCGGGCTGTTTTTTGCCTGTTTTAAAGCGTGAGTTTTTCTTTTTGTTTGTCCTAGACTGTTGACCCTTTAGCGTTTGGATTTGTCTTGACTTTGGAATATGAACGACACTAAAAGAGAAACTCTTTCCCCAGACCACGAGACTGATACCCCCCCCCCTTTTCCCTCCTGGGTGCCTATATTTAATCCCAACCATGCAGACTAGCTGGTAAAAACCAAGGGACGAGGTAATAATACTTTTCTTTGAATCAGGGACGGAGCCTGCACCTGGCTCAACAACACATGACGCAGAATTCCCAGCGTCGCCCTCACCCTTGTTAACTGCAGATGCTGAGAAACGGTGTTTTGGTGTGTGTGGTGTGTGTGTGTGTGTGTGTGTGTTTGGTGTGTGTGTGTTTGCGTGTGTGTGTGTGTATGGTTTGTTACCATGTTTTTACCAGAAGTGAGTGTGGGGCAAAATGTTCATTCTCATTTCATCGCGAGCACACACCTGCGATGCACACAGCTGAATTTATTTTGTGTTTTGATAGATAGCTGATGTTCAAAGTGGGCGATTGGCCGAGGTATCCGTGTATATAGTAGCAATCTGTAACCTTTGTTGGCTTTTGTGTGACAAAGGAGATAGGGTGTTTTTGAAGGTATAGATCATACAGTATGAGTACAAGTATATATTTTAAAACAGGCAGGGCAGCTCTGCATCGGGGGGCGGGACAATAGACGACAGGGATTGGATATACAAACTATATATGCAGGATATCCCCTTAACAGGAAAAAAAAAATCAGCAAACCGTTGATTCTCAGCGGAGTTCCGGCGGTGGTGACAGCTGCCATCCGTTGAGAGCTGTCGGTCGTGATGATGAATATAATAATATCACTTTTTTCAGAGAACAATAAAACAGACTGTCACCAGCACAGATAACACTGAAATGAGACTTCTAAACATCATTACTACAGTGAGCTTTAATTCAAGGGCGGGGGCGGGTGGGGTGGGGGGGGGTCAGGTTTTTTAAAACTATTTCCTCCGCCACGATTGTCTTTCTGTTTTTTGCAAAAAACCCGCTCCATCTACCGACAAAACAAACAAAGGGAGGCCATCTTGTTTTTTTTTGTTTGTTGTTTTGTGTTCATAAGCTCAGGTACAACAGTCTTAACAGTCAAAGTGTTTACACTCGGAGGATAGCAGTGTGTGTTGTGTGTGGTGTGGTGGTGTGTGGTGTGTGTGTGTGTGTGTTGTGTTGTGTGTGTGTGTGTGTGTGGTTGTGTCGTCGTCGGTGTGTGTGTGTGTGTGTGTGTGTGTGTGTGTGTGTGTGTGTGTGTGTGTGTGTGTGAGGAGGACGGATACTCTCCGGACGGAGTAAACAGAGAGGTGTAGGGCCGCACAATTGATCAACATTTCATGGATTTGCATTATGTGGTGCGATGTCAAAGCTAAATATTTAGTAGTATATGAGAAATATCTGAATTAAGTATTTTTAGAAAAGTCTTGGTATTCTGAAGACCTAATAAAATATGGTGTTTGGTTCAGATCCTCTTTAAAAAGTCCAAATATTCTTGAATATTTTGACTTAAGTGTAGAACAGAGTGAAACAAAGTTTATGTATTTCAAAGGTTATTTCCAATCAAAACCGACCCGGTGATGCCTTTAATTTGAATGAAGTTCATAGTTCATCGCGGGAAGTGATCACAACTTTTTCTTGCGAAGATCGTAGTATGGAATCATCCATGTAATTAGATGAAATATCCCCTTATTCTGACACACATGTGTTAAATGAGACCCAAGGAAACCAGGAAAGATGATATATTATAAATATATTTTTAAATATTTAGTACATTTAATTGTGTCCGCTACCATTTGCCTGTCTTCCCCTCCGTTTTAAAACTCTGTCTCTGCAATAAAGGCACTGGTTGCCCAACAAAAATATTTAAAAATATAATAAAAACATTTGAATGATGTTTCAAATATGATCCGTAATGTTTGGAAATTGTGCAGCCCAAGTAGTGTGTTTAAAAGTGTGTGTGTGTGTGTGTGTGTGTGTGTGTGTGTGTGTGTGTGTGTGTGTGTGTGTGTGTGTGTGTGTGTGTGTGTGTGTGTGTGAGATTTAAAAACCAACTGAGTGAGTGACGGGGCGGAGGGGACGTGTCGAAAGTTGAAAAGTGTGTGTTGGATTTGGGAGGCAGTCATTAAAAGATCTGGTTCTGTGACCCTCGGCTTAACGAGACCCCGGCCCTGCGTCCGAAGCTTCAAACGAGCAAAGCGACGGAGGGTGAAAGAGACAAAATAAATACTTTTGCACTCTTAACCATTTTTAAATTTTACCCGCTAAACCCAAAAATCGCCCCCTTACAAAAATGACATCCTTCACATTTTCTTTTACCTTCATAGTCGTAAATATAAAAGTACAGCCAACCAGTGACACACGAAGGAAAGATAATACATGGCTTATACCGAGAGGAAAGGTCAGGGGGGGTAAAAAAAGCTCAATACTCTCTGTGTGTTCGCTCTGATATGTCCGTGACAGAAAATACTTAGCATTATTATACTGACACTGCAAATACTCAACACTTTGATATGCCAAAAGTACTTATAATAAGTAGAGATTATATCCGCAAACATCTTTAAAAAAGTGGAAAGCTTCTTGGGGGGAAGTGAGACCATCATGGGACACTGGACAGATGGAAATGTAACAGAGAAGCTAGAACTGGGAAAACCAATGATATTTCCAAATCATGTAATTTCTTCGTTGGTTTATTATTCATTTATATTTAAAATCTGTATCATGAACGTTTTTTTAGGTTTACAATTGGTGGATGTGCTATTTTTGGAGGGAAAACAAATAAAATGATTATCACATTTGCAAATGAATCATATTTAATAAATATATAAATTAAAAAAACCTCATCAGAAGTTGTACTTTTGATATTGTATTTAATTTAAAAATAATTTCATATTTTTAAATAATTATCACCTCGTAGAAATATTTTATTTACTAATTTCCCTTTCCTTAATATTGTCTTCTTTTAACTCATATTTAATTTAACTTTTTAATAAAATATTAAAGGTGTTCCAAACTGCAGAATGCTAATGGGAGCTCTGATTGGTTAATAATAAATACATTAACTTGGAGAATTTAATAAATAGTGCAAAGATTGTTTTGTATCTGCTGAATGTCAGATTTTGAAAAGCAGGTGTATCTGTTTAAACCGGCGGTGAGTGTGTGTGTGTACAGAATGTGTGTGTGTCCATGGGTCAGGGTGGGGTTCAGGTAAAGTGCGCTCCATCAGTGACGGAGTCCTAACCGTTCTCTCTCTAAAACAGTCCGAGTCACCGCGGCTACGTTTTCCCTTTCTACAGCTCCCTCTTTAGGCTCGTCCACATATTACACTTTATATACACGCATAAATATAAATAAAAAAAGAGACCGATCCGCTGAGAATCAACGCGTTTGCTATTTTTTTTTCCTGTTAAGGGATATCCTGCCGATATATAGTTTGTATATACAATCCCTGTCGTCTATTGTCCCGCCCCCGATGCAGAGCTGCCCGCCTGTTTAAATATATACTTGTATCATACTGTATGATCTATACCTTCAAAAACACCCTATCCCTGTCACACAAAAGCCACAAAGGTTACAGATTGCTTATATACACGGTACCTCGCCAATCGCCCCCTTTGAACATCAGCTATCTATTCAAAACACAAAAATAAATTCAGCTGTGTGCATCGCAGGTGTGTGCTCCAGGATGAAATTGAGAATGAACATTTTGCCCCACATCACTTTGTTAAAAAACGAGGTAACAAACCATACACACACACACACGCAAACACACACACACAAACACACACACACACACACACACACACACACACACACACACACACACACACCTTTCTCAGCATCTGCAGTTAACAAGGTGAGGGCGAAGCTGGGATTCTGCGTCATGTGTTGTTGAGCCGGTGCAGCTCGTCCCTGATTCAAAGAAAAGTATTTTACCTCGTCCCTGGTTTTTACAGCTAGTCTGCATGGTTGGGATTAAATATAGGACCCAGGAGGGGAAAAGGGGGGGGGGGGGGTCATCAGTCTCGTGGCTGGGGAAGAGTTTCTCTTTTGTGTCTTCATATTCCATTTTAGTGTCTTCATATTCCAAAGTCAGACAAATCCAAACGCTAAAGGTCAACAGTCTAGGACAACAAAAAGAAAAACTCCACGCTTTAAAAACAGCAAAAAACGGCCCGAGAATCTACAGCGATAACAATGTAACCGTGGTGACGACTCACTCGGTGGCACTGACTCAACGCAGTGCAGTACAGACAGAATATCCAAACGCAGGGCATGCTGGGAAACCAGCAGTTGTCAACATGTCGGGTGAAACAGTCAAAGTGGCCAAATTTAGGTTTGTGGCCTGATTTAAAAACTTCTATTCAAATGTATCTGAATAATGTTTAGACAAATATTCCCTGGTTTGGTGGCTCTACCCGTCGGGGCTTGTGTGTGTGAGTGAAAATACATCAGAGTTCAAATGTGTACGCACATTGCCATACACATGTGTTGACGGTGTCAGCATGCTGTGTGAGGTCAGCGTTTCCCGTGTAGGTTACTGGGTCGATGTATAAACGGTGTATAAATATGTGTGTGTGTGTTTGTGTGTGCACGACGAAGGAAATTGGGGGCATCAGGGCTGGTGGGGGGCATGTACACAAGCCACAAGTACACATCTCCATCTCAATCCTCCATCTGTCCGTCCGTCCCTCTGCGGATTCATGTGACCCAGGTGTCCAGTCTCATCCTCTTCACGTTGGTCCCGTCCTGCTCCTGGGGTTCAGCCGATGAGGGCCTCAGGAGGACCATGGTGGGTTGTTGTTGCCCCCCGACGCCGCCCTGGTGGAGGAAATCTGTCGGAGCGCCTCCTCTTCCCTGGTTCCCGTCGTCCCGATCGCTGCCATCGTACGAACTGCCGTTGCTGCTGAGGCTGTCGACTGGCGAGCGTCCCTGACCTCCGACCTCCAGGCGAAGGGTACCCGGGTACGCCACCGAAACTAGACCCTGCCCCTGGAGCTGAATCTGGCCGACTCCTCCTCCCATTCCTCCTCCTCCTCCTCCGCAGGTGGAGCTGGGGGTGCTTCGGTCACGGTTCGGAGACACGGGTTCGGACTTGATGTTGATGTTGGGGTTCGTGTTGACGGTCAGTGCGCCGCCTTGAGAGAGTTGACCCATCGGCCTGGAGAACAGAAAGATGGAAGGAGAGAAAACAGAAACAGTGAGATATGACGATAAGATAAGATGGACCTTTGTTAATCTCCATGGGGAAATTCAGTAGTTTAACAGCAAGAATGAAAAACAGGACAGCACAGATTGACACAGATTAGAGATTAATACAATTAAAGATAATATATGATGAGAGTACCAAGAACATAAACACTGTCTTCAAACAGAACATGAGAGTGGACCTTCATTAGATCACAGTTTGCTTGTCGAATAAAAAATTCTAGGAATGGTCGCAACCAAAATGAATGCATCATCATTTTTCAGGATATTGAAGCCACTTTCAAAGACAAGGACCTAAGACACTTTGCAGCAATGCGTATGTAGGCTTCAGCACACGGAGGACAAGGACACACCAAACAAAAAGGACTACATTGGAGGCCACATTTAGAAGCACAGTCTAGAAGCCATGCAGCTCAAACATTTCGGATTTGGTCCGCTCACGTTCCCGTTGCATGATTAAAAGTTACGAGGTCATGGGTATTTTCAACCTGACAGGTGAGACGTTCCTGAATAGTTCCTTGTAAGAGTACAAATGTCACCTTCTGATATTAATACACAGAAACTGAAGCATCTACAACGTAAGAAACAACAGCTACTGTATACTGGAAGATGATCAAAAATAAAAAAAATGCTGCTGCTGCTCAAAACGAGGCTATTTAGAAGTCAAAAGGAGAACAAAAAGTATAAACTTGGAACATTCTAATCAGTTTCAGCTTAAAAACCTGATTATAATAATGAAAAAATGAGAGTTAGGAAATCCCCTGCTTTTATCTCGAAGATTGAAACCATATTCTGAGAAAAAATGGATTTGAGAATAATAAAATACGACTTCTTCTGCTGCCTGCTTTCCAGGAGCCATCTGTTGGATGAGGTCCATGTTCTGCCTTTTGGCTTCATTCAAATCAAAAACAGCACTACGCCTAAAAACACTGCCTGCGTGTGACTTCACAAACTGATCAGACAACTAGCTATGACACAGGAAGGTCAGTTTGAGTAAGTTCAAGACATTCAAGTGAATTAGAATTACCGCCTCCTGGTTGTTGGCCTCCACCAACACGTTTACACCCGTGTCTGCCCAAAGTATCATCATCCTATTAGACAGAGTTACAATTGCCATGCTCATCTGAGATTAGTTATTGAGTTCTGGCTGAAAGAGTTTTCTGTTTGCAAGAAGCTTTTAGGGAATTCGTTCAAGACTCACGGAGATATCACATTCACACAAAATGGGACAGTTGTAACTACTCGCTGGTGCAAGAGCATTTAAGAGCATCGAATAAAAACGTGTTTATACGACTGATGTTGAGTCTCAGAGGCTCAGAAGTCTTCTATCAGGATTGTGTGTTTCCACGTTTTTTGATTGGACAACGCAGTTCATTTCTGAAAGACATCGAATAGGGTTTTGGTAATAGTGTAGCTATGCTTTTCTGCAGTATCACTGCTTCAGTGCCTTCAGTGCAACAACACGTTGGACTCATTGAAATGAATGAGTGGGCAGCTATGGGACATGCAGTGCTGCTGTTTGTCTGACAGAGACTTGTTCAGCACCATCGGGGTCTAGAGTTTGGAGGGTTCTAGGTTTCTGGGTCTATTTTGTAAGAGAATGTTAATCGTTCAAATCCTCAAAGCCTGTTACTATTAGGTTTAGGTAATGGCAATCTATACTTTGAAGGTGTATGGACTTATGTACACCTTTAAAAAGGTATTGACCGAAATATCCCAGAACCAAGTAGTATCCAAACTTCTCCAGTCGAACGATACCTGCTTCTGATCGTTCGTAGTCAGTTTTCGAAACAGATGACTATGTGTGGGGTTTTGCTACTAAGAAATCTTAGTATTGTTTCTTTGTAGTAATGCGATTTGTCACTAGCCCACTAACGAAGCAGCAACAAAGCATCCTCCTTACACATAGAGGGTATCAAAGGAAGTACTATCGGTATGATTTTAAGGGGATTGCTAAGAGAGTGGTGAAGTATTATTCTCGGCCATATTTTATGTGAAAACGTGAAAATCTCTGCAATTTGTGTTAACCATAGACTTTATATTTCAGGCATCTTACAAAAAATGCATTAAAAATGACATTGACTTCAAGACAAGGGAACTGAAAGTGGCAAAATGATAACTCATCTCCTGGTTTTAGGGTTAGGGTTGACCTGGATCAGTCTGCTAACGGTAATCAACTCTTTGTAACCAGTGTTCCTGCACGTATCAAAGGCACTTTTAAAGTTTTTTGGACGATGGAGAAAACACTTTTGAATAAGCCGCTCAAGATGATTTCTGTGCACGTTCTTCAAGATGTTTGTGATGTTTACAAATCTAACGTCTGAGTCTGTGCTTCTACCTTCTCTCTCTGATCAGCCCCCCCACCCTCACCCTCTCTGAGTGGAGTCTGTCACTCCGACTGACACCAGCTGTTGACGCTGCACTGCTCCTTTGACGGTGTCGACAGGATTTTTCCTTTTCCCCAACTCTCCGTCTCCCTTCGCTTGACACGGTCGATCTGCATTTGAAGCTCCCAATTACTGCGCTTCGCCCCTCGGGTGTGTTCTAATATGTCATATCATGAGCCATCTGCAGCACTGTATCTCTAATATTCCCTCAATTACTGGCAGACAGACGGGGGAATTTAAGATAACGCTCCTCCGGGCGATCTGCGGCACTCAAATGTGCTCCGTGTCCTGCTCCAGTTCTGACACACACACTGAAACTCATGCACTCTTACTGGCTCACATACTAATGCTCCTTCCCTGCTATCCTCACACACACTGACAACACACACAGAGATGGAAGAAGAGGTACTTGAGTAAAAGTACTTGAGTAATCGTAGAAGTACTCAGATCTTGTGGTTGAGTAAAAGTAGAAGTACTCAGATCTTGTACTTGAGTAAAAGTAGAAGTACTCAGATCTTGTAGTAAAAGTAGAAGTACTCAGATCTTGTACTTGAGTACGTAGAAGTACTCAGATCTTGTGGTTGAGTAAAAGTAGAAGTACTCAGATCTTGTACTTGAGTAAAAGTAGAAGTACTCAGATCTTTAACTTGAGTAAAAGTAGAAGTACTCAGATCTTGTACTTGAGTAAAAGTAGAAGTACTCAGATCTTGTACTTGAGTAAAAGTAGAAGTACTCAGATCTTGTCAGTAAAAGTAGAAGTACAATCTTGTACTTGAGAAAGTAGAAGTACTCAGATCATGTACTTTGAGTAAAAGTAGAAGTACTCAGATCTTGTACTTGAGTAAAAGTAGAAGTACTCAGATCTTGTACTTGAGTAAAAGTAGAAGTACTCAGATCTTGTACTTGAGTAAAAGTAGAAGTACTCAGATCTTGTACTTGAGTAAAAGTAGAAGTACTCAGATCTTGTTCTTGAGTAAAAGTAGAAGTACCAGAGTGTAGGAATACTCTGTTACAGTAAAAGTCCTGCATTCAAAATGTTCCTCAAGTAAAAGTAGAAAAGTATTCTCATCAAAATATAGTGAAAGTAGCGACAGTAAAAGTAGTGATTGTGCAGATTGGTCCATTTCAGAATAATATATATGATATGTTTTATAATGATTGATCATGAAAGTGTTCTCAAAGCTGGTCAAGGTGCAGCTAGTTTGAATGACTTTGTATACTGCAGGGTAGCTGGTGGATTTACTCCAGGTGGAACTAAAGTCTGATTTAACACTTGATTATATTTCACATCATTCATCCACATCTGAGAAGTAACTAAAGGTATTAAATACATGTAGTGGGGTAGAAGTACACCATGTACCTCTGAACTGTACAGGAGTAGAAGTACACAGTAGCATTTAATGGAATTACTCAAGTAAAACACAAGTATCTCAACATTGTACCTAAGTACAGTACTTGAGTAAATGTACTTGGTTACTTTCCACCGGTGACTTTAGGATATTTCTAGCCGCATATATCCAGGATGACACTGGGAGAACATGGGTTGTATTTGATTCCAGTGTTGGATGTGTCTTGTTTTGGAAGGGTGGTGTACACACACACACACACACACACACACACACACACACACACACACACACACACACACACACACACACACACACACACACACACACAGGTAGACGTATGGCGGGAAAACAGCAGAGTCAGCGCTCCGGTGACAGTGATGAAGGCGAGAGGAAACCCCCCCGAGCGCGAACAACACAGCGAGCACAGCCAGAAGCAGACAGTGTGAGGAGAAACAGCCCTGTGTCCCAGAATGCACTGCTTCTCTGAGGAGCTGCACAATCACTCTCAGATTAAGTGAAATTCAGACAGATTTACTGAAGAAGTCGTTTCGAAAAAACAATGTGTTGTACATAATTAAAGGTTTGCCACTGAATTTGACGGATCACAGTCTGCGCTGTCTGCAGTTCAGGCTGTAATTAGTTGTAGTTTTGCATATTTAAAGGGCCACTCCATCGGCTTTACACACGGTTAGGGCTCCTCAGTTTGTGGAAGCAGCTGCTTTAACCAAATATTCACAATATAACGTTCCCTCTTTTAAATCTAATATACTGCATTTTGTCAAACATGAACTGTACTAAGTCTTTAGTTTAGTGTATATTTTAATGTTAAAGTCCTTCTCTGTGTTTATGCACCAAAACTAATTCCTTGTATCTGTAAACTAAGTGGCTATAAACCTGATTCTGGGAGGTTTTAAATTGAAAGAGGCCAGGGTTTCATGATGGATGAGAAATTACAGATTTAAAACACTCAATTATAGCTATTTCAATTGAATGCTGGTAAAAGTACTTTAACAAGCAGTTTCCTGTCTCTGCGGATTGTCAACATGTTAGATAATTTATTGGGTTATGAGCCGAGATATTGGATCTAACATCCTATTCCGCTTCTACCTCCTCTATCCTTATTTAACTTGAGGAGCTTATGTTATTGTAACCTCTGAAGCACTTATAATGATGGGTATACCTTTGTATAATCCTGGTTTCACCTTTACAAACACTACTTTTAAAAACAGGATCATAAAAAAGCATATTTACCTAATTCTGTGACACTTTCTGCCCTAACATAATTCCAATTCCTCAATTAATTCATGCTCAAATGTAGCGTAGCTTCTGCCTGATTGAGCCCAGAGAAATGAATCTTCTCTAATCTTTTTTTAGACAGGCAACACGTCTCTATTTCAGTAGCAAACTCTTTTTAAAAACTGTGCTCTAGTTCCTCATGCAGCAGGTATTTTGGGAGCGCAGCGTGCTGTGTGTGTGTGTGTGTGTGTGTGTGTGTGTGTGTGTGTGTGTGTGTGTGTGTGTGTGTGTGTGTGTGTGTGTGTGTGTGTGTGTGTGTGTGTGTGTGTGTGTGTGTGTGTGTGTGTGTGTGTCTGTAGTGTGTGTAGAGAGTACAGTACCAGCAGAGGCCGTCCTCTCTGCCAAAGAGCAAGTTGGACTGAGAGGCCAAGCTGCAGAGGAGGGGGAGGAAAGAAGAGACAAGCAAGTTTAAAAAACGAGAGCTCCGACAGCAGGGAAGCAGCGGGACGGAGGCCAGGCACGCTCAGTGGTAACAGAGGAAAGATAAAAAGGCTCAACAGCTGCTTCAGACATGTTGTTAAGAGGCAGAGCGGGAAGTGTTGCTGCTCACACACACATTGGATTTCCTTCCACACGCAATGCATTCTTACAGTCCGCTCCAATGCACCTAAAAACATCGGCTTTTCCCTCAAAATGGGGGTCAAGCCAACGGGAGTTTTAAAAGGAATATTCCCTAAATTCTCCAACAGTGTATTTTATTTAAGAGCCTGCTATAAATACAATCGTTTCATTTTAACTTGAGGGATGACATAAGACATATGTTTTGCAGAATGGAGACGACAGCCCTTTGTGTTTCCCTTTTATGAGAGAATTGTTGTATGTTGGGCTAATGTGATGCCTACATCAGTTTGCTACTACATGTAGTAAACAGACATTTCTTTCTATCAACAGCTAGTTGTTCCTGTTTTGCTGGAGGGATGAACTTATGCATGTTTTGCAATTATTTGTAGAAGGGAGATGGCAACCGTTATTGGACAGATTTTCGTTTTCTAACAACTTACAGAAAATGCAATTGTGATTTATTTGCATCCAATATGCCAGGCTAATCTGTGTTGGCTGATACGGCCCAACACCATGAGAAGAAACGTGCTGCAGCTTCAAAAAACTTGACGAAACATGCGTAGCGTTTACAAAAAATTACGGTTGGCTAACTTTTAAGTGTTTGGGTTCCCAGCTGTGTGCGTCACTTTTTAATGTCCCCTGGTTCTGTTGTGTTCTGAGCTTCTCGCAGCGTTTTGTTTACACAGCGCTTTTAGTAAACGCTGGGCATGGGATGTCAAGTTAGTGTTTTGGCACATTTGTGTTTTGACATTAGCATCGTTTCTGAAGCTGCAGCGAGTGTCTCTTAGGGGAAATGTTCCGCGTTGGCACCTGTGGGCCACCGTACTAATCTGAAGCACAAATCAATTTGCTTCTGATAAGCAGACACTTTTCATCCACAGCTCTTAATAGCTGCATGCAAAGTGTAATAATCTGCTTTTAAGCGTAGAACCAATAACCATAAGCATCCAGTGACCGCACAGTCTATATGTTTTTTGCTCACTTAAACTATAGCAGGTAGCAGAATGCTAAATGAAGCGTCTGCTGTTTTTTTTTAACTCTGTGGTGTCTAATGTGTACTCTGGGAAAACACAGATTCCTCTGGGGAGGTGAACAGCCTCTGACAGCATGTGTGCATTGTGCCCTGCTGATTAAAAACAGTGTGTCCTGTGAGCAAGTCAGCAGTGTGTGTGCGCTGTCTGCAAGTGTGTTTTTATTCTCAAACAACAGCTGAGAGAAGGAGGGAAAGAGACACAGACTGAGAGAGAGGAAATGTGTTTTTGTGGGCGAAAAAAAGAGAAGAAAGTGAGAAGCAGGGAATCTTCAGCCACCAATAAGACATTTCATCCACTCCACAGTTATTGTAGCCATGAATGGATCAAATGGACAAAAAACAACAGTGATGCACGAGCACACAATGTCCCGAGAAGTTGTTCTGTTTGTTTCTCTGCTAAAATGTACCAGTCTGCAGATAACACATCGACGCCGAGAGGAAACAAACAACAAATGGCATCCGGAGAGCGATTCTATACAGACAGGGAAACAGGCCGAATAAGAGAGGCTCTGCAGGGTGGCAGCCGTGATATATTAACATTTAGATTACGGGAGAGAAGGGGAGTCAACAGGTGTACGCCAAATTAAACTCTGAGAACAAAAAAAAGCAGGAAATAAGCAGGAAGTAAGGAATGATTAAATAAAGGGGGGATGGGAGAGGATGAGCTGACAGAAATGATTTTGTGGTGCCGAGTTTAAGTGTGAACGACAGCGAAGGCGGCCAAACCGTCGCTCGCTGTTTGATTGGACAAAGCTTTGTTTGAGATGAAATCAGAAAGCAGTCTGGGCTGCAGAAGCGTCCGTCGTGCAGAGAGAACAGTTGGGAAAACGCCGCTCGCTTGTTTTCAGTGACAGACACTGTGATGGCACACACAGATGGATAAACCTGCCCCGTGTTTATTCTGCTGTCAAACCGGAGCGCACAATAAATCCCTGCTTGTTCAGTTAAGTCAGGATTAGTGATCCAAATGTCTTAAAGAACACAACAGAGACACTTAATGTAGTCACTTGATACTTATTACTTAACACTTAATACCCTTAATGCTCCTTTTCAGGTTCATATCAGTATGTAGTGTCTCTACTTTAAAGAGTCCTCTCCTGCTGATGTTCAGGTGTATATCAGTATGTAGTGTCTCTACATGTTTCCATGCTTTAATGTTCAAAAAGCTCTTTATTGTTCTCATACTGTCTGTGCTGCAGCACCTCTTTTCACCCTCTGTCTGAAACCAGAGCCCAGTGTGCTCTGATTGGTTAGCTGGCCGGCTCTGTTGATCTATCTTTAAGGTGTAACTTGTAAAATGTAACTTACAGATATCCCTTTAAAACTTCCCCACGTCATTACTCACTTAAGATAATTATGTTTCATATTTTTCTCAAGTGTTGAAATGTTGTGTTTAAAACGCAAATAGAAAACAATAGTCAAATAAACTTCTAAGTGTATATTTTGTTTATACTAATCCGAAAGAAGACATGTCCTGGAAGCAAAACAGACCGAAATCTCAAAGCTTTCATCGTAAAGATTAGAAACACTTCACGGTATATAAGAACTATTTTTATTTCCCTCAGTAGAGAAGCTATATCTGGATTTAGCCAATTCCCTTGAGAACAAGCGCTGGCTCCTTCTTCATGTCCTGAGTGTTTTACCAGATCTGCCTGCTGAGTAATTTCATGCAATCTGGACGTCCATTTGTTAAAACAGGGCGATGACAGGAGCTCTGCTGACTACATCCTGCTTTCTCAAAGACACACAAACCCCCCAGGAGCCACAGCTGCTGTATACAATAACAAACAACCTATTATCATATTTTCATGGACAATTTTCAGCTTGTCAGACGGAGAAACACACAACAGTCTCCCTGCTGACAGATCGCATTACTTCAAGTGTCAGTTGTTAAACACACTTCTGTTATCTTCATTTTGTTGTGTGTGATAGAGACTGTGAGCAGCTGCAGTCTCTTAAATTTACTTCAAGCAAAGATATTTCTAGGGTCCGAGCACCGACACCGTCAGGTTTTGTATTATTATGTCTAAAAAGAATCACAGTTTCGAGGGCCTAAACATGTTTATAGATGCAATTTTCGGTGGTGAAAATGTACGCATATTAGGGTTTGCGCATATTGTTCCTACATGTATGAAATGTGGTGGGTGTATGTATCAGTATGTAGTGTCTCTACTTTAAAGAGTCCTCTCCTGCACGTGGAGATGACAAATAAAGTCTATTGTGGCTAGACTTTAAACCCAACAGGAATTCGGCCATCTTTAGTTTTACAGCATTTTTTGACGATTTCCGGCAGCTCCTTCAAATGTTGTTGAACGAAATGTTGAATGTTAATTTCAGTGTGTGTTGCAAGCTGAAAAGTCCATAATCACAGCAGACCCAAGAGTGTTACAGACTATTAACTGATTATCAAACTCCATCTAATTCCAACCTTCATTTGATTTAATGTAATCCATCAAAATAAGTGGCTTTGACAGCGAAGCTACGTCTAAATTATTCTTTCTAGTAGTGCTGCTGTGTCTGAGGAATTGGAGTCTATGAACACTGCCGGCTGACAGTGACAGCTAAATGGCTGCAGAGTAAAATGTTAATGCACTGTGTGGTGTACAGCTGAGCACTGGGACGCCGTTTGGTCCTGAACGCAGCATCAGGAGACGCCTTTTCCGAGCGACACACTGCAGCGTCTCCCTCTTTGTTCGTGACACTTCCAAAGAGCTTCACATCTCAGAGTTATGTGCACGCAGATGCTAACAACCACACGAGTAAACTGTCTTAAACTGAAGCAGCGATGAAGTGCAGACAGCAAAGCATTAACATGTGACACACAGATGGAAAGGACAGAAGGTTTTGCATTGATTTTGTGATTTCTTTGGGTTATTCGGCTCCTAACCAAAGCCTGTGAATATAACTTTACAGATAAAAAGGCATAGCAGAGCCGCTTAGCCTCAGATGCTATCATGTCATTCACCTCAGGTTAGCAGCAAAATTGGAGATGCAGTTAACCATCTCTGCATTCTGTTTCTCTGCACCCCACATGCTGTGGAGAAAAAGGGGGGAGGGAGGACACAACAAGAGGCTGTTACAAGCTGCTCCCCCATCCACAGGTTAGCCTAGCACAGCCAGACGGCTAACAGAAAAGAATTAGCGCTAGCGGCTAAAATGCTACGACACACACATGGTCATGAAAAGTTGAAAATGGCTGCTTTCCCTTCCTGTGATGTAATGAAGACTTTTCTTTTTGCCACTGCTTTTAATTGAACTATTCATATCTCACACTGCACTGTTTGTATATATTGATTGTTGTCTTTTATGTAGGTCTTAATGTGTGCATATGTATAAATATGTCTTGTGTACATATAGGTATATACATATTTGTTTTTGTATTCGGGATTGTGGGAAACGGTATTTCGGTATAAAGTTGACTTTGACTTACTTTTATTAATGTATTTTTATTTTATGTTGATTTGATTATCTTTGCTTTTTAATGACTGTTTTTTTTGCCATTTTCGTAATGTCTTTAATGTTTGTAAAGCACTTTGAATTGCTATTTAAAAAGACTTGCCTTGCCTAAACAATAATATAAACACCTGACTTAGTATTCTCTGAAGTAACTTTACAACAGAACTTCTGATAAGAGACACGTTTTTAAATTGTGTGTGTGTCGTGTGTTGCCGGATAACATGACTAGCAGACTAGCTACCAGGAGCTAAATGAGAGAAGGACCCCAGTGGGAGTTGGATCTGAGGGGGGGTGAGTGGGAGGATGGGAGTGGAGGTGGGGAGAAGAGGCATGGAGTATCTAGGTCAACGCTAAGATGAATCAAACACAGCTGGGGTGATAACACAGCTCCGTATGGGAGAGGCTTCAAATGTTTCATGAGTCTGAGTCAGAGGTGGGAGAGCCACTCTGAATTCATTTAGTTTAGTCTAACCACGTTGGAGAAACACTCTGTCCTGCATTCAGTGTTTATTACTTAACCATTGCATCAAAATGTGTTTGAACTACCATTTGTCTTAATTTACATTATTTAATTTCATATCCCATGTTCTATCTACATGTATATAGACTTCTTGCACTACTGTTTATTTTGTATTCCTGTATTGTATTATACATGTTGCATTGTGGGAGGAGCTCAGGTCAGAAGGAGTTCATTGCCATTTCTACACTGCAGCTTACGACACTAAAACCTTTGAATCTTTGCATTAATTAAAGTAGTTTTTATGCAGAATGGCCATTTTTTAGAGCAATATGCAACAATTTATTGGATTTTGGAGAGTAATATGTAACAGGATTATGTAATCAGGACAGAGAAAAAGGTAACTGTGTTCCCTTACACTTACTTAATACAAATAACTCTAGGCTGTTGACTGTAGGTATCTATGTATATGTCTGTGGATGTGTGTATATATATATATATATATATATATAATTGA